CTGGAAGCAGGCCACACCCCTAGGGAAACTCCCTTTCATCGGATTGGCTGCTCAAAACATATACATCTGATCCCAATATTGGAACAACCCACATCACAATTGCTTAACCACACAGAATTGTGCTCCAGCCAAACTGACCCACAGCTTCAACTATCATGAAATCACGAAGTGAAGAACTTGGCATCTTCTTTACCATATATAATCTCTAAATAAGGACAATTACAAAGTCATATTTGTGCCTAACGTGATATGCTAACACACTTACAACCGAAATGCATTAACCTTATTTACATTTCATACATCATAACAGAAGGAAACAAAAATATTTGATGCACATACACAATGAAGAAATACAACTATCACAGTCCTCATTTCTGCAACTGGTCACGTGGTCATAGCTGACATTCAGAGCTGCCTTCTTCCACCACCCATTATGTATTTCCCTTGCCATCAGCAAGCACCTCAGCTGGTCGTGGTTCTTTGCCTGGTGGGGTGATCCAAACCTTCATTCCTGAAGGGTCTGGGCCATTAGCAGTCATATCAGAATTGGGTTGCTGTAATTTTCCATTGACTTTAATCACAGGGCATGGTAGTACTAAGAGATGTCCTATAGAATCTCTTGTAATCCAGACATATTCTTTTTACTTCCATTATGTAATGTCAATCCAATTTCCCCTTGGTAATCAGGACCTATCATATCAGATATTATAGTAATGCCCTTCTTTGTCTGTTGATCCAGAGGCATGAGGAAGCCAAAATGGCTGGGTGGCATTCTTAATTTCCAGTTCAATGTAAACAGTATTGTGTCTCCAGGTGGGAGTGTTCCTCCCTTTGGGACTAAGATCTCCAGACCCACAGAGCATAGCAGGGACAAGAAGCAAAAATTTTTTGAGTGGGTCACTAGGGTAATAGTCAGTGGTACCACTCCGTTTCCACCCCTTGGTTCCTGGACCCGTGAATCCTGGCTACTGGAGAAACAGAACCATGTAACACTGGTTTAGAGCATATACATGCAGACTCCTGGAGAACATTGCTCCAACCCTTCAAGGTATTGCCACCTAGCTGGCGCCATAATTTGTTTTCTGTAGGCCATTTCATCATTCTATCAAGCCAGCTGCTTCAGGATGATGGGGAACATGGTAAGACCAGTGAATTCCATGAGCATAGGCCTATTGCCGCACTTCATTTGCTGTGAAGTGAGTCCCTTGATCTGAAGCAGTGCCGTGTGGGATACCATGACGGTGGATAAGGCATTCTGTAAGTCCACGGATGGTATTTTTAGCAGAAGCAATGCGTACAGGGAAGGTGACTCCATATCCAGAATAAGTATCTCTTCCAGTAAGAAACAAACGCTGTCCTTTCTATGATGGATGTGGTCCAGTGTAAACAACCTGACACCACGTTGCTGGCTGATCACCCCGAGGAATGGTTAAATATTGCAGACCTAGTGTTGCTCTCTGCTGCTGGCAGATTGGGCACTCAGCAGTGGCAGTAGCCAAATCAGCCTTGGTAAGTGGGAGTCCATGTGAACATGTTGCCGAGCCCATGCATAACCTTCATCCCTGTCACCATGGCCACTTTGTTCATGAGCCCATTGAACAATGATAGGTGTAGCTGGGGGGAAAAGGATGACTGATTTCCACTGAACATGTCATCCTGTCCATCTGATTGTTAAAAGTCCTCCTCTGCTGGGGTCACATTTTGGTGGACATTCACATGAGACACAAATACCTTTATTCCTTTGGCCCATTCAGAGAGCTCTAAACAGGAAGTATAAAACTAAAAAAGCAGAAAAAAAGTTAAATATTTGAATTGGACAGGTTAAGAAGAAGAGAAAGAGACTTATAAGAGGTGGACTAGTGAGGGAGGAGGAAAAGTTGGTGATCTAGTAGCAAAGTGAAGAAATGTTTACAGAAAGAAGAATGATCAACTGTCAAGTGTGGTTGAGAGGTCCAGTAAGATGCAGACTGAGAATTGACTATGAGGTGTAGAATCATGGAAGTGATGACATTAGTAGTTTGAGTAGAGCAGTAGGGACAGTTTCCTGATAGACATTGGCTGAGGAGAGACTGGCAGATGAAAACATGAAGATAGTGAGGATAGGTATCTTTTTGAAGGAGTTTTGTTATAAGGAAAATTGAGAAATTCTGCCTTAGCTGAAAGAGAATGTAAGGTTTAAGGCTTTTAAGAGAAGATATAAACATAGTGTTTATATGTTGATGGAAATGATGCAAATAGATAAGAAAAACTGCAGGAGCAAATATCATGAGTGGAAAAGAAGGAATGGATTGGAGACCAGCAGTGGAGAGTCTGACTCTAAATCAGCATGGTATCAGTTCATCCTTTAAAACAGGGAGAAAGGCAGAATACATGGGTATGGAAACAGGGTAGTAGACTTTGGTGGGAAAAGATAAGCTATTTCTTCTTAAGATTGCTGCTGATTTTCTCAGTCTTATAGCATCACAGTAAGCCCAGAAGTAGTAGAAGCTGAGGTCAGTAAGGGGGCTTGATTAGTTGAGGTGCCCCATGGGAGCACCTGACACGTTGAGTATAAGCCTCATCTTTTACCTCATAACGCACACTGGGCCAGGCAATAGCAAGAGGCTTTTACTCCAGGTTATAAATGTAGGAGCTTAAACTAAGGAGAAAATGCTATGCTTTGGGTCACTGGCAATGTCTGGAAGGAACAATTAGCACCCAAACTCAGACTTTTCCTGTTCAGTGGGGCATATTTTGACTCTCCACTGTTATCAAAATGTATAGGACATATGAACTATGTCAACAGTTTGACCCTTCCCCAAGTAAGACTAGGCATACAGATGTGAAAGGCAGTGTAACCACAGTCATCAGTTCTTAAGATAACCAGTTTTATCAATTCTAAGATTTTTTTTTTTTTTTTACACATTAACATCTCTGAACTTGGAATCTGTCTTAGAATCAGTGGCATGTCTAATTGGGCAGTATTTTTTCCTTTCTTAATGGCATGCAAAATAAAGGTGCTTTTTAACAAGTAAAAGGATTTTACATTTGTTCAAATACAGTCAGTACACAGTTAAGTGAGAAAATCCAACACCAATGAGTGAGAAATAACAAACTAAGCAGTCCGGGGAATGTATATCAAAGGAAGTAGACTTTTAAATATTTTCAAAGAGATAATATACCCATAAGCCAGGAAGAGGTGGTAGTTATGAAAAAATTAGACATCTTAGGAATCAAAAATATAATTATTAAAAATAAAAATCTCTACAGGTCTGACTAGCAGAATGGACTAAATGAAGAACACATTCATGATGTGTAGGATCAAGCCTGCAAACTCTCCCCAAACACAGCACAGAGAAATGGGAAGTCTAAGACTAATTGGGAGCTCTGGTAGCGTAGTGCCTAAGGCACTTGACTGCTACCAGAAGGCTGGCAGTTCAAACCCACCAGCCACTCCTCGGAAGGAAGATGGGGCAATCTACTAACGTAGTGATACTGCCTCAGAAACTCAAGGAGGGGTGGCTATGAGTCGGGTCCGACTCGACAACACATAACAACAACAACAAGACTAATTGAGGTATCATGTATAGAGAAGCCTCCATTATTTGGATAACTCCAAAAGGAGAAACAGAAGGGAAGCAATATTTGAAAAATTATAGCTGAAATTTGCCTATATCGAAGAAACCTGATTCTGAGAAACAGTTCTGGTCTCTCTCCTAACCTTCTTTCTTGCAACTTAATGACAGCACTCTTAATTAATCACCTGCTAAGAGATTCTCAAGGAGCTCTGGTAGCATAGTGCCTAAGGCATTTGACTGCTAACCAGAAGGCTGGTGGTTCAAACCCACCAGCCACTCCTCAGAAGGAAGGTTGGGCAATCTACTTCCATAGTAATACCACCTCAGAAACTCAAGGAGGGGTCGCTATGCGTCAGGTGACTTGACAGTAGTGATTTTGGTTTTTTGGAAGAGATTTTCATGGCTTGTACTAGCCAATCCATACCTGTAAAAAGGACTTTGGGACAAATTCTTGAGGAAGCATTTGCTTTGGATAAATATCCTAAATGCAGAGCCACTTAGCCACCTAGAAACTAAGGGTCCGTATTATCAATGTAAATTAAGCTGTGAGTATATAGTAAATTTTAGATTTTTCTGGGAGGGCTATTTTTAAGATTTTCCCATGTAAAAAGCTACTGCTGCCGAGTTAGATCTGACTCATAGTGACCCCTCCTTGGGTTTCTGAGGCGGTATCACTATGGAAGTAGATTGCCCAACCTTCCGAGGAGTGGCTGGTGGGTTTGAACCGCCAGGCTTCTGGTTAGCAGTCAGATGCCTTAGGCACTACAATACCAGAGCTCCTTTCCCATATCAGGTGGTAACCCTTAATAAGGGTTTTTTGAAGACTCGTTTGAATGATCGGAGAAGAATGATTTAGAATGAGATCATCAAATGTTTACATATTTATGGGTGGAAGGTGTTAAGACTTTTATAAGTATCTTTATATGTCTCATTTTCTTATTCACATTATGAAATCACATGTAATAAAAATATTGCTTAGGACTAATAAATAGCTCAGTTCTTATTTGACTGTAAAATTTAAAATTATGAAATCAGAGTTAACTATTAAACTTCCTCCTAAAAAATCCTTGGTTCATGGTCAAATTTTTATTTTTATTTAGTAGAGACCAGAGAATGATGACATCTAAGGACCAGGTCCAAAAAGGGACACATGTTCTGAAACTTAAAACAAAAATGGTAAGTTGTAGACATAGCATTCATAAACAGTCTTTTCATTCCTCTTCCCTTTTCCCTCCCCATGAAAGTAATGAGTTCTGAAATACTGATTTGTTTAAAATAACTCTTTTAGGCTAATAAAGAAAATGTCAGTAGATCTACAGAGAGCAAAAATAATATAACAATGGAAAAAAATTATATTCTTTCAATACCTGCTGATGAATTAACCAATTCAACTTTAGAAATTGATAGACACAATTTTGAGGATGACAATCAACTTCTTCAGTTGTTACCAATTAAAGATGATGTCAGAAATCAACGTATGACATTTAGCCAGGCATTTCACCTTAAAAAAAATAGTAAAAAGAAACAAATGCCTACAGAAAAACTGAAGCAAGAAGCTAACGTGCCCAAGAAACCTGTGTTTGGTTCTTACTGTGGCCAAATTGTTGAGTCTAAGATTAATTCGTTCAGAAAACCTCTGCAAGTCAAAGATGAAAGTTCTACTGCAAATAAGAAACTTTCAACTACTCTCTCTAATGCCACCAAGCCTCAGCCTATGAACACTAGCAGTGTAAAGTGCAAAGTGCAAAGTGATAGAGCCGCAAATAGGACTATGACCACTAAAATTGTGAGCAGTACATCTCACAGCAGACAACTTGTGCGACCTGCTATTAGAAACCACGATAACACCCAGGACATGGTGAAACAAGGGATCAGTAGAACCTCTGCCAATGTTACAGCTTGGAAAGGGCCTCACAAGAAAGAATTATTTCAATTAAAAATAGACTTATCTAGTGTCAAAACCAGTTCTCAGAATATAAAAAGACATGAAGCACCATCAAGGAGCATAGCATCTGAAATTGTAGCCAGGCCTGCTTCATGTTCCAATACCAAACTGATAGAAAAGTCAAAAACCATGGACCAGCGAAGACATACTATAGCAAATGCAAGTGTCCATAATAGATCAGCTCAGCCCAAAGAAACTGCAGAACAGAGAAAGTGAGTAGATACAATTTTTTCTTCATTCTATTACCTTACTTTTCAGTAGAGTAGTAGTTGTGAATTTGGTTTGTAATTTCCTTGAATGTACTTGAATTTTCTTGTGTATTATTGTCTTCTGTCATATGCAGACATATTTAAGGGAATGTATATTGTGGTGCTATTAGGACCTAAAAGTTACTGTGTTTGAGTGTGTTTTATTAAGTTGCTTTTTGTAATCTAAGTAAAATGCCTAACATAATTGGGAGCTATTTTATAAACTCTCCGTTTAAAAATGCCTTCTTGGGGGTCACTGAGCATGTCATTGACTTTGATATATTCAGTGTTTCTTTCTCTTCAGATTTGTAAGCTGTGTATTTGCCACTAGTGTGAAACTAATTAAAGACCTAAATATTTTTTAGCTTTTTCTTTATTTTACAGTATTCTGTCATCAATACCATAGTTATGTTTTTTTACTGTTTCTAACTGTAGAGCTCGTCTGACTGAGTGGAAAGCTGGCAAAGGAAGAGTGCTGAAAAGGCCTCCTAGCTCAGTAGTTACCCAGCCTGAGCCTGAAGGACAAAGTGAAAAACTAGTTGGGTCCTTCTGGACTACTATGGCAGAAGAAGATGAACAAAGATTATTTACTGAAAAAGTAAACAAGACATTTTCTGAGTGCCTGAATCTGATTGCTGAGGTATACTGTGTTTATCATACATTTGTGTAGCATTTTATACTTTGGGAATTACCTTTTAAACATCTCATTAAATTACATTGTCAGTGATTTTCAGTAAGTTACGTCAGTATTGGTAAGTTGATTTCACATTAATTGTGAGAGTGTTCTTTAGGCTTTGACTGCATTTTGCACTGTGTTCATATAAGTATCTCAAAAGTATAATTAGTTTTGATATTTGAGTTTTAAATATATTTTTTAAGATATTGATAGAGAGTGGGCTTGAGGTAGATAACAATTCACTTTTCAACTTTTGATATTTAGGTTTCTTATATTCATTCGAAGAAGTTTACAAATTTTTTTCTTGTTATTAAGTATTTTACCAGTGGCTAAAACTCACTGCTGTCGAGTGGGATTCGACTCATAACGACCCCTCCTTGGGTTTCCGAAGCAGTATAACTGGAAGTAGATTGCCCAACCTTCCTTCTGAGGAGTGAATGGTGGATTTGAACCGCCAGCCTTCTGGTTAGCAATCAGGTGCTTTAGGCACTGTACCACCAGAGCTCCTTGCCAGTGACTAGCAGCATAAATTATTGAGCCATTATTGTTGCAGATCAAAGTTTTAGTTAACTAAAATATTTACAAACAAAATCCCATTAATCTGAACCAGTACTGCATAGTTTTAAATTTATTATAGCATTTTATTTGAATAAAAATCCTAGGGAATAGAATGATAAATTGCAGAATATCTTACTACTTCTCTTACTATTGTTTAAGAGTTTTTTGTTTGCCCACTGTTGTTGAAGGTCCATAGCAAATCTGAACAGGAGATCATTTCAAACCAGGGCTTCAAACTGGTTCATCCTAGTTCATTCATGGTTAAGGAAACGACACCAGAACAGACCTGACTTTTTAAAAATTTGAATAAACTGGAGTGATAACCAGAATGGGAGAAATTACAGGTCACAGCTCTGCTAGAAATTTAATCTCCTGCTTAGGGCAAAAGGTTTAAGGTGTTCATGAACATTAGTATAAGGAAGAGACCTGAATTTTTCAAATTGGGTGAGTAGGAGCAATAACCAGAATGGGAAAAATTACAGGTTGCAGCATATGCATTGCATAACAACCAGATCTCTTGTCTGCAGAGTGGGAAACAGCAGCGCAAGACTCAGAGATGGCAGCTGACTGCCTCATTTTGAATGTGTGCTACTCTCTGCAGTTTCCACAGCCACCTACTCTTCTGCATCAGGCTCCTGAAGGGGCTCCCTATTCCTGTTCTGAGTCTTCCATTCCTTCAACCTTTAACATTTTCCTTTAACATGCTAGTTAAAGTTCCTATTCACCTAAATTCAGCTTTATTGTGGTTTCATACCATCAGCTACAATTGAACCAGTTTGAAAGCCCTGTTTAAAACCTTATTCTAATGTTCATGAGCATCTTTAAACCTTTTGTCATTCTGAGGGCCAGTGAAAGTTACAATTAGAGTAGCTCTATTCCATTACCATTTCTGCTCAGTTGAGGCTTATTTTGATACTACCAAATTTATATGTCCTACTTTTTTTTTTTTTTTTTTAATTTTTGCAGTGTTTCCTCCCCTCCCCTCTGACCTCTCGTAACCAACAAAGACAGTTTTCTTCCATATATAAACCTTTCCTTGACTTTTTACAATAATGAACTAACACAGTATATGTCCTTCTGTGATTGGCTTATTTCACTCAGCATAATGTCCTCCAAGTTCATCCATGTTAGGTGGTGTTTTGCAGATTCTATGTTATTCTTTAGTGTAGCATAGTATTCCATTGTGTGTATGTACCATAGTTCACTTATCCATTTTTTGTTGATGGGCATCTAGGTTGTTTCCATCTTTTTGCTGTTGTAAATAGTGCTACAGTGAACATGGGTGTGCAAATACTGTTCTTGTCCTGGCTCTCACGTCTTTAGGATATATACCTAGTAATGGGATTGCTGGGTCAAATGGTATTTCTAATTCCAACTTTTTAAGGAATCACCATACTGCTTTCCACAGTGATTGTTATCATTTGACAGTCCCACCAGCAGTGTATAAGAGACCCAATCTCTCCACATCCTTGCCAGCATTTGTTATTTTCTGTCTTGTTGAAGTTTGCTATTAGTGCTGGGGCAAGATGGTATCTCATTTTTGTTCTGATTTGCATCTCTGTAACG